CCTCCTTCCCCAGGGGTCAGCATCCTCCCTCATCCCAGGGGGTCTCAGCTCCTTCCCCGCTCCCTCCCTAGGTGGGGGGAGTCCCTTCTCTTTCCCGGGGTGGGAGCTTAACTCCTTCCGCTCTCTCCCTCCTGGGGGGGGGGGCTCCCCGATACCGCCCCCAGGGGCTCCCGAGGGGAGGCGTCTTTTTCTCTCTCTCCGGGCTCTCCCCCCCAGGGTCCGGGGGCGGGAGCACTCACAGATCCCGCCAATCCGCGAGGCCCGCGCCAGGCCAAGGCCAGCCCCCCTCGCAGGGCCCAGGCTCGTGCCGCTGCCGCCGCCATTTTGAGCCGTTAACTGTCTCGCTCCGCGACTGCCACCCAGCTTCTCTCAGGGACCGGCAAGTCCATCGCCTGAAAAGCTGTCCACGCCTACGGCCCCACGTGAGCCAGCACCGCCTCCCAAGTCGCCAGGGACTGCCGCCGGGGAGACAGCTCCCGTCTGCCACTCCCCCTCAGCTCTATCCTTCGGCTCTGAGGTCTCTGAGGCGGCTGCGCCTTCAGGCGGAAGCGCGGCCAGCCCCTTGAACAGGGGTCCTCACGCGCGCCCCGCCCCTTAACCTCACCAGGGCTGGGATAGGACCTCGGGCCATTTTGATCCCGCCTCCTCTCTCCGGCGACCTAATAGTTTCCTCCGGCCTAGGTCGGGGGCGGGACTGAGGGAAAGCGTGGCGTCTAGCCTTTACAAACAAACTTCGCGCAAGCGCGTTGTGATCGTGGCTCACGCGCCCTCTCCCGCTGCTCAGGCAGGACTGCACCTGTCCATAGGAGGTGGGGAGGGAGGTTGAAATCAGTCGAAACCATGTGCTCAAACAAACAAATGCTTGCGCATGCTCCCCAAGGCCTTCAGGCATGCGCCCTGGCCACCCCCGGAAGTAGTTTTGTACTGGCTGGGCTTCACGTGGATGGAGATGGAGAAGGACCTCGGCCCTAGCGCCGGGCCAGATGCGGATCTAAGCTCACGAGGCTTCGGGTGCAGCCTCCGGCATTTCGCCTGCGAGCAGAACCTGCTCTCCCGACCCGATGGCTCCGCCTCCTTCCTGCAGGGTAAGGCGCCATCCCTCCAAACCTTTGCTTCCGGGTAAATACCCAGGCCCACTGTGAGGGATGGGGGCTACCATCCCTCGGTAAATTGATCCTCCTCCGGAGGAAATAAGCACCCTAACCCCTCTTCTGGAGGCAAATGCCCCTCCAGCACAGGGGAGGGACAGGCACCCCTTTTACTCCCCCCACGTGGGTAAATACGGAAGTATTGGCTACCTGGGTCAGTAACCTCCCGACTTCGAGGGGGGCGGGGCGGATTAGGACTCTGCCCATGAAATACTTCAATTTAGGGCCTCGTGTTGTCCTTGAGCAGATAATCTGGGCAAAAATTACCCCTTCGCACGAGTATGCAATCCAATGCGGGTGAATACCCACTTCTGGGCAAAAATGCATAAACACCTAGAACGGAGCTCCCCCGCCGAAGACAGTGAAGGGCGGTCCAGGTCACGCTTCCCTCCCTAGAGTTCCAGGTGAACCTCCCCTTGGCGGGTAAGAATACTCCCCCGGGTAAATAAGTCTGTCCCGGCCCGGGGGTTCACACTGAGAGGCGCATGCAGCCCTGCAAACGTGGGGATCCGACCCATCAGGGTAGGAGCGCCCAGGAGCCCCAGGCAGCTCCTGTGTCCCCACTGGACCTTCCTCCTCCACCCCCATCCCCATCCCCAGGGGCCTCCCCTTGCTGGCTTTAGGTGAAGAAACCCTCAGGCAATAGGGAGCCCTGGTCTAAAGTCAGAAGGGTCTGAGCCCAAATCCTGCTTCCGACCCTGTCTGGCTTAACCTCCTTCGGTCTTAGTTTTTTCATTTGTCAGGATCAAACGAGGAGACTTATGCAAAGGCTTAACAAACTCTGAAAAGTGCTGAGTATTAGCTCTCAATATTAGCTATTATTTTGTTGTTTTCAGTCGTGTCCGACTCTTCATGGCCCTGTTTGGGGTTTTCTTGGCAGAAATACTGGACTGGTTTGCCATTTCTTTCTCCAGCTGATTTTACACGTGAGGAAACTGAGGCAGACAGGGTGAAGTGACTTGCTCAGAGTCACACAGCCAGTAAGTGTTTGAGGCTGGATTTGAACTCAGGAAGATGAGTGTTCTTGACTCCAGGCTATGTCACCCCAAAGCCTTAGCTATTATCAAGTGGAGCTTAAGTAGACCCGGGTGGGAGCTGGGAGTGGTTCAGATGTGGTGGTCAGAATTTAGGAGAGGAACATTTAGGTGGCACAGTGGATAGAGCTCTGGCCTTGGAATCAGGAGGACCTGAGTTCAAATCTGGCTGCAAACATTTGACATTAACTACCTGTGACCCTGGGCAAGTCATTTAACCCTGATTGCCTCACCAAAAGAAAAAAGAGAAAATTTAGGAGAGACCAGAGGGGAAGGACACCCTGTCCCTAACCAATGCTTTCTTCTCTGCCTTCATCTCTGCAGGTGACACATCGGTCCTTGTTGGCGTCTACGGTCCAGCAGAGGTCAAAGTCAGCAAGGAGATCTTCAACAAGGCCACCCTGGAGGTGATCCTGAAGCCCAAGATCGGGCTGCCTGGTGAGCAGGAAGCTGGGGGTGGGCGTCCCTGTCTCTATCCTTCTCTTCCCATCTCGCAGCCCAGCGGATTCAGGGAGCGGCTAGTGTTTTAGGAATGTTGTCCAGGGCTGCTGTAGGAGGGCGCTTTCTGTGGTAGAGCCAAGAGCCAGGCACAGAGTAGGAGAAGCCGGGAAGACTTGTAGGAACCGAGATGCCAGGGTAAAGCAGGCAGAATTGGAAACACAATACGTGACAATGTGACAGGGAAGGACAAACAGTGCTGCTTCATCCTGTTTTGTAAATAATCCAGAAACACCACTCGACCGCAATGACTTGGAGAAGAGCTGGAAAAACATACCTTCCTCCTGGGTTTGCAAAGATGAAGGAATGAGAGAAGACTTTTTGAAAAATTTTTATTTTTTTCACTTAATAGTATTTTATTTTTTCCAATTACATGTAAAGATAGTTTTTAACGTAAACTTTTATAAGATTTTGAGTTCCAATTTTCCTCCCTCCCTTCCTACCTTCCCCCTTCCCCAAGACAGCAAGCAATCTGATATAGGCTATACACATACAATCATGTTAAACATATTTCCACATTAGTTGTGTTGGGAAAGAGGAACCAGAACAAAATGGAAAAACCAGGAGAAAGAAAAAACAAAAAGATAAGAGAAAATGCTGTTTCAATTTGCATTCAATTTGCTGGATGTGGATAGTATTTTCCATCATGAGACTTTTGGAGATGTCTTAGACCCTTGCATTGCCGTAAAGGGCCAAGTCTATCAACGTTAGTCATCGAACAATATGGCTGTTACTGTGTACAATGTTCTCTTGGTTCTGTTTGCTTCACTCAGCATCAGTTCATACAAGTCTTTCCAGGTTTTTCTGAAGTCTGCCTGCTCATCATTTCTTATAGTACAATAGTATTCCATTACATTCATATACCACAACTTGTTCAGCCATTCCTCTCAGTTTTGAATTCTTGGCCATCACAAAAAGAGCTGCTATAAATATTTTTGTACATGTGGGTCCTTTTCCCATTTGTAGGATCTCTTTGGGATACAGCCCTAGAAGTGCTATTGCTGGGTCAAAGGGTATGCACATTTTTATAGCCCTTTGGGCATAGTTCCAAATTGTTCTCCAGAATAGTTGGATCAGTTCACAGCTCCACCAACAATGCATTAGTGTTCCAATTTTCCCACATCTCCAACATTTATTATTTTCCTTTTTTTGTCATATTAGCCAATTTGATAGGTGTGATGTAGTACCTCAGGGTTGTTTTAATTTGCATTTCTCTGATCAATAGGGATTTAGAGTATTTTTTCATATGGGTCTAGATAGCTTTACTTTATTCATCTGAAAACTGCCTCTTCATATCTTTTGACCATTTCTCAATAGGGGAATGACTCATATTCTTATAAATTTGACTCAGTTCTCTATATATTTTAGAAATGAAGCCTTTATCAGAAACATTGGCTGTAAAGATTGTTTCCCAATTTCGTACTAATCTTGGTTGCATTGGCTTTGTTTGTGCAAAACCTTTTTAATTTAATATAATCAAAAATATCTATTTTGCATTTCATAATGTTCCCTATCTCATGTTTGGTCATAAATTCTTCTCTTCTCTGACAGGTAAACTATTCCTTGCTCTCCTAATCTGCTTATAGTATCATCCTTTATGTCTAAATCATGTACCCATTTTGATCTTATCTTGGTATGTGGTGTAAGATGTTGGTTTATGCCCAGTTCCTGCCATACTCTTTTCCAGTTTTCCCAGCAGTTTTTGTCAGGTAGTGAGTTCTTATCCCAGAAGCTGGGTTCTTTGGGTCTATCAAATAGTAGATTAATATAGTCCTTGACTCCTACATCTTGTGTACTTAACCTATTCCACTGATTCACCACTCTATATATAATACCGAATCGTTTTGATGATTGTTGCTTTATAATACAATTTAAGATCTGGTATGTCTAGGCCACATTCCCTTGCATTTCTTTTCATGAATTCCCTTGATATTCTGGACCTTTTGCTCTTCTACGTGAATTTTGGTATTTTTTAAAAAAATTTTATTAACTTATTTTTAGTTTTCAGCATTCACTTCTATAAGATTTTGAGTTCCAAATTTTCTCCCCATCTCTCCCCTCCCCCCACTCCAAGATGGCTTGTAATCTGATATAGGCTCTGCATATACATTCATATTGAACCTATTTTCACATTAGTTATGTAGTACATAGTTCTTTTTCTGGATGTGAATTTTGGCATTTTTTTTAGCTCTGTCAAATAATTTTTTTGTAGTTTGGTATGGCACTGAATGAGTAAATTAGCGTAGGTAGATTTGTCATTTTTATTATATTAGCGTGGCCTACTCAAGAGCAAGTGATATTTTTCCTATTATTCAGATCTGACTTTATTTGTGTGAAAAGTGTTTTGTAATTATATTTATATAATTCCTAGGTTTGTCTTGGAAGGTAGACTCCCAAATATTTTATATTGTCTGCAGTTATTTTAAATAGAATTTCCTCTTTTATCTTTTGCTGTTGGTCTTTGTTAGTAATATGTAGAAATGCGCGTGATTTATATGGCTTTATTTTATGTTCTGCAACTTTACTAAAGTTGTTCATTATTCCAAGTAGTTTTTAGTTGATTCTCTAGGATTCTCTAAGTATATCATCATATCATCTGCAAAGAGTGATAATTTTGTTTCCTCATTGCCTATTCTAATACCTTCAATTTCTTTTCCTTCTCTTATTGCTAAAGCTAACATTTCTAGTACAATATTGAATAACAGTGCTGATAGTGGACATCCTTGTTTCACTCCACTCTTACTGGAAATGCTTCGAGCTTATCCCCATTACAGATAATGCTTGCTGATGGTTTTATAGATAGATGCTAGTTACTTTAAGGAACTTTATGAAATTTATGTATTTATATTTAGGATGAGATGACATTATTAACAAGTAGATGTCTAGAACAAAACAAAAACAAAAAGTGACTTGCCCAAGGTCACACGGCTAGTAAGTGTTAAGTGTTTAGTCTGAGGCCGGATTTGAACTCGGGTTCTCCTGACTTCAGGGCCGGTGCTCTATCTACTGCACCACCTAGCTTCTCTAGTGTTTTTAATAGGAATGGGTGCTGTATTTTGTCAGAAGCTGAGAAAGCTTTTATTAAGTAAGCTGTGTGTGTGTGTGTGTGTGTGTGTGTGTGTGTGTACATATATATGTATACATACACACTAATTTGTGTGTTTATCTTTGTCTTGTTAAATCCCAATTACATGTAAATATGCTTAACATTCATTTTTTTAATTCTGAGTTCCTAATTCTTCCACTTCCTGAGAAGGCAAGCAGTTTGGTATGAGTATACGTGTGAAGGCATGTAAAATGTGTCTTAACTGACTCCAGTTAATAATAATAATTAATGTTGGCCATAATGTAAACGATCTCCTGGTCCTGAATCAACAAAATGACTGTGCTTGGCCAGGCTCCGCATCTTGATTTTTGGTTGGAGAAACTAGGGGACCCATATGCTTGGAATAAGAAGCTTTGGCCCTGTGATCTCATTTCCCTAAGTCCTCTATTCAGTGGTGCAGGTTGTGACCCATTCGGACCCTGCCTATCCTGGAGGGCTTACGTGCCCTTTCATGAATTGTTTTCAATTCATGAAACAACTCTATGCTACAGGCGATTTAAAGCAAATCATCTTTTTAATATACTTTTCAACCTATTTGTTCTCTGGAGTAGAGATTCTTAACCTCTTTTGTGTCATGAATCATTTGGGGAGTCTGATGAAGCTTATGGATGCCTTGTGGTTTTTAATGCATAAATTAAAACACATAGGATTACAAAAGAAGGCAATTATATTGAAATACAGTATCAAAATATATTTTAAAAAACAATCTCTTGGATCCCAGGTTGAGAACCTCTACTCTAGAGGCCTAGATTTTAAAATTAATCATTAACATGATCATATTGATGAGTGATTTTATTTTATTTTTGCCGATCTTAAACCTAGCAAGAAGTTTTAGTCCCATAAAAATCGTGTTGTTTTTGGAGTCTCTTTAATGATTTTAATTCTTGCAACTTTCCAGGTTAAGTGGGTTTTTGTTTTTGTTTTGTTCTAGACATCTACTTGTTAATGATGTCATCTCATCCTAAATATAAATACAGAAATTTCATAAAGTTTCTTATGCAGTATTTAAAACTTTAACATTCTGCTAACAGTTTACCTTTAAGGCATGGTGGGAAAGTAGACAGAGAACTGACCTAGAAGACCTGGAAAAGGAAACACACTGGCTGTGTGACCCTGGGCAAATCATCTAACTTCTCTGTGCTCTAGGCAGCCTTCTAAGACTCTAAGTTGCTGACTTCAGCATTGGTCGAGGGGATTTACTCACCTGGAATTTCCCTATACCAATTAGATCACAGATAGTACATCTTGTTTAAAGCAAGTTTATTTTAAATTCCGTGTGATCAGAGTTATTTCCATGTGAATGTGTGGAAAGGAACCTGGCTCTTAGGTACAGATGGGAATCCTCTAGAATCTAGAATCTAGGATGACCTGGTCAGTTGGGGAGGAGGGGCAGTGGCAGGAGCAGAATGTGGAGGGCCCCTCTCTCGGGCTCCGTTCTAGCTCTGGCATTTACTGAATCCCTCCCCATCTCAGACTCCTCATCTGTGAAGTGGGGATAGTGCTTGGGACATCTGTCTCCCCAGTGAACGGGTTTTTTAGTCCTTAAAGCATGATATAGGTTTGAGTCATTATTAGGATAGATAGGAGGAGTTTTAGGGTGGTTGGGTGGTACAATGCATAGAGCACCTGGCCTGGAGTCGGAGGATCTGAGATCAAATCTGGCCTCAGACACTTACTAGCTGTGTGACCCTGGCAAGTCACTTCATCTTGTTTGCCTCAGTTTCTTCATCTGTAAAATGAGCTGGAGAAGGAAATAGCACTCCAGTGTCTCTGCCAAGAAAACCTGAAATGGGGTTGTGAAGAATCCCATGGACTCATTAACTAAACAGGCAAACAAAAGGGCCTCTGGGTGGCGCCATAGTGCATAGAGCCCCGGACCTGAAGTCCAAAGAACTCATCTTCCTGAGTTCAGATCCAGCCGTAGACACTTACTAGCTCTGTGACCCTGGGCAAGTCACTTAACTTATGCTTGCCTTAATGCACTGGAGAAAGAAATGGCAGATCATTCCAGTAAAATTAGCCAAGAAAACCCATGGACGGTGTGGTCCATAGGCTCCTGGAGAGTCACACCTGACCGAGTAGCACTGGAGGCAGATGTGCGGATTTGGGAGTCATCTGCTTAGATGAGACGGGCCCGGAGGAGGGCCAGGAGGGCCCCGGGTCCGAGAAACAAAGGAGGAGAGATTGTGCAGGAGGAAGGGCTTGGTCATCTGTCCAGTGCTAGCTTAATGTTGTGTGTATGTGGTGTATGTGGGAGGGTGTAGGGTATATAGGTGTGGTGTATGTGTGGTCTGTGTGTATGTGTGGTGTATATGGTATATGTGTGTGTGTGGTATGTGTATTTGGTGTATGTGTGGTCTGTGTGGGAGGGTGTGGGGTGTGTGTGTGGGTATATATGTGTGGGGTGTGGGGTATGTGTGTGTGGTGTGGGGTGTGTGGGGTGTGTTCGATATGTGTGTGGTATGTTTGTATATGTGTGTGTGGGGTGTGGTATGTGTGGTGTATGTGGGGGGGTGTGGTGTGGGGGGTATATATGTGCGGTGTGGGGTGTGTGGGGTGTGTGTGTGTGTAGTAAAGGCAGGGAAGAGAAAGGGCTTCTTTCCAGGACTCCAGGCTGCCTGGAGGGGGAGCTGGGTCGGAGAAGACTGGAGTTCTGAGTGCGCCTTCAGGCAGTGGTGAAGGAGCCTGGGTACTTAGTGGGTAAGGGGTGGAGAGAAGATGGGGGAGGGCAGGCGGAGGCTGGGGACCCAGGGGACACTGGAAGGGAGGACGGTGGAAGGCTGACATTGGATAAGTAAGACAGCTGTTCTCTCAGTTGGTTGTCACCGAGGTCACAGGCCGGGGCGTGTCTGTCTGTCTGCATCGCGGGGCACGTCTGTGGCTGTGTTTGTAGCTTTCACTTCTCCCGCCCCCGTGGGCTGCTCTAGTTCTTCTCTTCCAGGGCCTGGGCCCTTCCAGAGGCAGCTGAGGGTACCCCCCCTAACTATTTCATCCAAGTGGGAGGGAATTTTGGGCCCCACCAGGGATTTGCCGAGATGGTAGGTGAGGCCAGCTAGGGAGCTCCGTGGGCTGGCGTCCCGTGGGTGCGGCCACAGGCATCATGTGATGTGTGGGAAGGCCAGATTGTGAGCTGTACAGGATGGACCGAGGTCTCGGCCTGGCTTTTTGCTACCTGTGGGCTGTGCAGTGGGAGAGGGGGTGGGCGAGAGGGTATGTCAGGGCCCCGGATGACGTGAGGACCAGAGGTCAGTCATTTCTTCTTCCCTCCCAGGAGTAGCAGAGAAAAGCAGAGAGCGGCTGATCCGGAACACGTGTGAGGCTGTCGTGCTGGGGACGCTGCACCCCCGAACTTCCATCACCATCGTACTGCAGATCGTCAGTGATGCCGGCTCTGTATCCTCTGCCCCCAGGAACTCTCTCCTCTCCCTCTTCCTTCTTCCCCAGGCCGGGAGCTGGGACACCTGGGCTTTCCTGCTGATTTCTCGCATGGTTTGGGGCAGATTCCCCAATTGTAAAAAAATGGTTGTCGGCAAGCTCCATAGGAGGCAGCAGTGGGATGGAGGAGCCCCCAGAGCTGATACATCTTGAACTTTAACAGAAGAACCATGGCTTCCAGGAATGAGGGGGTGATGGCCCAACTACCCTTTGACCTGGTCAGGGCACCCCTGGGGGATTGTTAGTGCTGGGGGCCATGGTTTAGGAAGGATGAGAATAAGCTGGAAGGAGAGGGTTGGGAGGGTGGCTTCGGTTAGGCCTTGAGGAGGGCTGGAGGGCACTGGGGGTGCTCAGCCTGGAGAAGAGAAGGCTAGGGGGTAGGAGCCTTACCGGGCGTCTGCAGGGCTGTCCTGGGTAGGGTTAACCTCCTTCCACTCTGCTCCGGGGGGGTAGACCAGGGAGCCCTGGCTGGAAACCTAGATATGTGGGGAAAGGACCAGATGTGGGAGCTGCTGCAGGAGACGAGCCTCTCCAGGGTCGTGGGAGGGTCTCCCGTCAGAGCACCCTTGTTGGGGAGGGCCCCTTTCAGCCAGGAGACGGGCCCCAGGTCACCGCTGAGCTCTCGCCTCGCTGTGACCCATGGCTTTCGGGCCCTTTTCACCCCAGAGCCTGAGACCCAGATTCTGCCTCTGACTTGAGGAGTGACCTCAGCCCAGGCTCTTCCCCTCCCTGAAGGGTTGGAGAGAGTTAGATCAGATAGCTCCAAAGGCTTTCGCCAAACCGCCTGGACGAAAGCCTTGAGTGGGACCCGGATCCCTCTTCATGGCCCTGCCTCCTTGACCCTGACCTTTGCCCAGCTGCTGGCCTGCTGCCTGAATGCGGCCTGCTTGGCCCTGGTGGACGCCGGTGTGCCCATGAAGGCATTATTCTGCGGGGTCACCTGTGTCCTTGACCCAGATGGCGGCCTTGTCCTTGACCCCACAGCCAAGCAGGAGAAGGTGAGCATAGCCTCGGGTATAGGTCATACCAGTGAATGAATGAATGAATGAATGAATGAATGGTCACATGGAAGAGCATCCCGCCACAGGGAGGATGGAGAGGCCCAGGGCTCTGGCCCTGGAGGGTGGGCCTAAGTCCCAGGGGTCGTCCACCTGACCAGAAGGCCCCTGGTCTATGACCACTGGAAAGGGTGGGGGGGTGTCTGGTCTGTCAGAGAAGAGCCCCTGCTTCTCATGGTGTGTGTATGATGGTGTGTGTGTGTCTCTCAGGGTAGGTGGGAGGGTGGGCAGGGGCTTCATTGCTTCCATCTTCTAGGAGGCTCGGGCCATCCTGACCTTCGCCCTGGACAGCACTGAACAGAAGCTGCTCATGTCCACTACCAAAGGCCTGTACTCTGTGGCCGAGGTGAGTGGTGGGCCCAGAGGCCCCTGCGGCCCTCGACTGTTTGGGGGGGGGCAGGGAGGTCGCCCCGCTTGCCTCCAGAGCTGGGGTGTCTGGATGAGGCAGTGAGCCCTCCCCAGGCAGCAAGCGCCCCCAGAGCAGAGGCCCATCCGTCCTTGTGGGCCGCTTGTGGCTTTGGCTCAGCCTGGGTACTGCATGAGGTCAGCCTCGTGGTTTTCCTTCGCCTCTGCACCTTCTTCCCGGTGGTCCTAGAGACTCAGGCTCGTTTTTCCCAGAGTCCCAAGGTCCTCCTGGGGTCCCTCTGGCTGGTCCCTGCAGCCCCCACATTTGGCAGGGATTTGGAAAGGGGGCAGACAGGCATCCGTGGGCCTTGGAGGGAAGCCGGAAACTGTGGGGGGAGGGGGTGGGGCCTGTAGCCCAGGGTGACCTGGCTGCAGATCGTACCACTGCGCTTCCCAGCCCTGTAACCTTGAGTGAGACCAGCCCCGGGGGTCAGGGGGGAGCTTTGCTTCTGTGTAAATGGGGAGGGCCCTTAGCGGCCAGGCTCCGCTGTTGATGGGAGGGGGTCTTCCCGCCTCAGCTGACCCCCATTCTCCTCTTCCAGTTCCAGCAGTGTCTCGCCGCTGCCCAGCACGCTTCCCATCACATCTTCAGGTTCTACAGAGACTCTTTGCAGCGACGCTATTCCAAGAGCTGACCTGGGCGTGGAGCCGGGCCAGGAAGGGGCTGAGTGCGGTGGTCTCAGGCCTCTTCTCAGCTCTGAACACTCCCCATCTGCCTCGTGAATCTGTCTGAGATTTTGTCTGTTCCTGCTGGGAGCTCTGGGAGGGAGTTGGGCAAGATCCCCGGGGCTCCCTCTCTGGGCCTCAGTTTCCCCATCAGTCAGGTCCAGTACTCAAACCCTGTCATCCTGTTGTTCCTGCCCAGACACGTAGGTGCTGGGGAATGGGAGGGAGCAGGCATCTGTGTGGTGGCTACCGTGCGCTAGGCACCGAGCTTAGAATTTTACAGATTGGTCTCTTTAATCCTTACAATAGCCCTGGGAGGGAGGTGCTGTTATTATCCCCAGTTTACATTTGAGGAAACTGAGGCAGGTGAAGTGACTTGCCCAGGGTCCCACTGTCAGTACTCGTCTTGAGGCTGGATTTGAGCCTGACCTCAGGGAACTTGTTCTTTCCTGGAGGGATAATTCAGATCAAGGACTTTTGGGGAAGGGAGAGTGCTAACATCTGATTGGCACCTGGAAACCGTCCTATGGGGAAAGAAAATAAGATTGGTGCGGGCAGAGACTGTTTCTGTGTGCCCAGGGCCTGGCACACAGTAGGCACTCAATAAATGCTTGTTGTGAATTGAAACAATGCCTGAGTTGAGTAAAGGTGGAGGAAAGGAATGACTGCATTCTAGGCCTGAGCACCTGGCAAAGGGGGGGGGGGGCGTGACGATCGGGTCTTGGGGACAGCCAAGAGGCCAGCTGTGCCCCAGGGTCGATGCCGTGGACCTTGGCCCGGCCCTCTCCTGCCCTTCCTGGGGAGGGAGAGATCATGAGCTGGCACCGGTCATCTCCCAAGTACTCTGTGGGCCCTTCCCAAGACCAGGGCTCAGGGGCCCCCAATCCCCCAACACAGACACACAACACTCTGGCTTCAGATGAATCCCAGGTTTAATTTCTTGTTTTTCCCTGGGCTAGGGGTCAAAAGGGTAGAATGGGGAAGGGTCGTGGGGTAGGGCAAATAGAGATAGGGTGATGGGATGGGTGGGTGTGGGGAATGGGGTAAGTGGGGGTGCGGAATGGGGTAAGTGGGGGTGGGGATGGGGAACGGGGTAGGTGGGGAGGAGGGTGGGGGGTCCTTGAGGTCCTGGCCGCTGTCATGACTCAAGACCCCACTGGCCCCACAGGCATCTGAGCCTCTAGAGGGAATCCCCAGAGGTCAGGTAGGTGGCCAGTGTGACCAGGGCTGCTGTGTAGATGCAGACCCCCAGGCCAATGGCGAGGACGGCCAGCAGGAAAGCCCGCCTGGCAGATGCCCCGGCTGCCCGAACGTCGCCTGCTGCCCAGGCCTTGTTAGTCTGGAGGGACAAGAGGGAAAGAGGCTGTGAGCCCTGGGCCCCAGGGACCTCTCCTCCCCGCTTCCGACCCACCCTCTTCCCCAGCACTTGCTGACCTTCTGGGCAAGAGAAAAGGCTGCTATGCCCAAAGGCCAAAAGCAGCAGAGGATGGAGAAGACAGCCAGGCCCACATAATCCCGAGAGAGCAGTGGGGTGAACTGGCCGACCCCCATTCCCTCATAGTCACTGTCACTGGACCAGCAATCCTGTGGAGGAAGGAGACAGGGTGGGGTGGAGGACTGGTCGGACCCCCGCACGGACCTGCCCAGAGTGGCCTTTTGGCCTCGCTGTCCACCCCACTGCCATCCCCCAAGCCCGGGCAGAGGAAGAAGCAGAGAATGCCAAGGACCAGCAGAGGCGTGAAGAGAGTGTAGCGTCTGACCGCCTGGACAAAGATGCAGAGAGAAATGTGAACTGCCTACTGTGTGCTAAGCACTGAGGACAGAAAAACCAGTGAAGTCCCGCTCCTTCTACTAGAGGAAGACAGTGGACAGGGGTCTGAGAAGAGTTCTGATCTGGGGAGTCTCGGGGGGCTACTGAGTGGAACCCCTAAGGAGGGAGACTGGCTGAGTTGGGGCGGGTGGGGAGGGGGCCCCTCCTCAGCCGAAGGGGAGTCGAGGGGGCGAGCCCTCCCTTCTCCTGGGCAATGCCCCCCTACTCCCATCCTAGCCCCGACCTCACCGGAGGAGGAGCAGAGAGAGGTCTGCAGGACAGCAGAGAGACAGAGCCAGCACGCAGCAGAGGCCTGAAGGAACAGCTGGAGACAAGCAGAAAGAAGCGGAAGCAGGGACAAAGCAAGGAGACTGCAGGAGGATGAGGCCAGAGCAGACGCGCAGAGACAGCCCCAGAGGAGCAGACGCGACGGATGGATGAATGGATGGATGGATGGATGGATGGATGGGGACCAGGAAGAGATGCAGAGGCAGGGAAAGACTGCACAGAATGATCAATGGGTAACAGAAAGGCTGACGAGCAGGGACGACAGGGCCCCGGGGAGACTGAGCCAGCCCGGCTGCATCTGAAGAGGAGTGCCCTCTGCACGTCCCCAACAAGTGGCCGTCCCACACCTCTGCTTGGAGCCCTGCCTGGACGGGGAGCTCACTAGCTGAGAGACGTCCCAGAACAGAGACCCAGAGGAAAGAAAAAAAGGCCCCAGCATGGGAGCCGAGGGGGTGGGCTGGGATTTGGAGGATAGCAGACCCTCTGACTGGCTGACCCCAGCTCCTACCTCTAAATCGGGGTTCTTGGGCTCCAGCAGTCCCAAGCTCACAGTGGGCAGCTGAAGCATCTCTTTGACGACCTTGTCTTTGCGGTGGGCCCGCTTTTGCTTTGGCCCTGGGGCTGAGCTGGGGGGCTTGGAGCTGGGGGGCTTGGAGCTGGGGGGCTTAGAGCTGGAGGGCTTGGAGCTGGGGGGCTCCACGACAGGGGATCCATCAGGTGGTGGCCCAAGCAAGGGCTGATGCAGCTCCTGGGGGCTGTCCATGGCTTGTCTAGACCCTCAGGGGAAGGGAACAAAAAATAGATCAGAGAAAAACAATGCTATGAACGCCGATCCCCGATTACCCCAGGCTTTGCCGGGCTCAAAGGATGCTTAGAGATACTGACTAACACGTCCTCCCCCCATTTTACAGGTGGGGAAATAGAGGCCCAGAAGGGAGTCAGGGTCAGAACCCAGTGTCCAGACTCCCAGTCCAGGTTTCTCGCCAGCCCATCCCCCCTCCCCCCAATTACTCATCATCCCCTCACACTAAGCCCCAGGGTTCTAGCATTCTAGGAAAGCTCTCCCGCCCCCCCCCCCCCCTCCGTGCCCCCTGCCTCCGCATATATGTTCCAGAGACCCAATGCTGCCCCCCCCAATCCGTTAGCTACTCTGGTCTTCCAGCATTCTCCACATCCCCAAGGCCCCCCTTCCCCCAAATGTAGGAAGCTAGGGGTTGACTCTACCCTTGGGACAGGAGACGGAGCTCTGGGAAGCTTCCCTCGACCCTAGATGAAGGGGTTTGGGAAAACCTGACCCTCGTGTCCCCCAATTGTTAACACCCCCCCCATGGATGCTAAGTGACAAGGACCTGTCCTGGGCTCTGCGGGGTATCCCGGGAGCCCTCCCCCTCCCGCTGCTGCCCCACTCACCCGGGCCCTCCGGGACTGGGCAGCCCAGACGCCTGAGTCTGTGGGTTCAGGGTGCCCAGGGTTTGCGGGTGCAACGCCAGGAAGGACAGGGCCGAGGCTGGTACTGCGGAGCTGAGATCGCTAGTCCGCTCGGGTTCTGGGCGCCTCGCTCTGCGCAGCTGCTCCCGCCGCCCCCGCCCGGAGCCCCAGGCGCCCAGGACCGCACTCCCCCTCCTCCCTCCCCTCCCCCGCTCCCTACCCTGGTCCTGGAGAAGGCAGATGTTGGGAGGGGAAGGCAGGGGAGGGGGCCGAGACTGGATTCCCTACCTCGGAAGGCTGCCTGGAGGGTGGTCTCCTGTCACGAGGGTCCGCCCCTCACCATCCTGCACTATTTGCGCACACGCCGCCCCCGCAGCCCCCCCCCAACCATTTCCTCCAGGAATGCTTCCCATCTTCCTTGACCCTCAATACCCTCTCGTCCCCTAAACACCTCTAGGCTCTGGGCATGAGTCTCCCTCCTCCTAAATGTGTCTGGACCCCCAGAATTCTACCCCTCACAAACACCTCCAGTGTGTCATCTCTGCCTTCTTTCTGCAGGAAGGCCTCTAGCCATGGCCAGGCTGCAGGACCCTTGAGGGGCACTTGAGTCCCACCAGCCTCCTTGGGTGGATCCCACCCTCTATCACTGGGGTTGGGCCAGCCAGGGGGGCCTTCTTTTCCTGGGGATAGGGTCTGAAGCTTCCCCTCTGCCATCGGGAATGACCGTGGTTCCAGACCCAGCTCTGCCTGCTTCCCTAGGTCACCTCAGGCAATACCGTTCACCCTTCTAAGGCTCAATACAATGAGGATGGGGGACTTCCTCCCACACCTCCCCAGCCCCCCTGTTCATGGAACATATTCATAGGATTTCAGGTTCTAAGGAGGCTTAGAAGCTAGTCCAACTTAATCATTTTACAAATGTGGAAATTGAGTCCTCTGGGGGGGGGGTTTACAGGTCATTGATGTAAAGCGGGGAAGATCCTCAGAGGTCATCCAAGGTCACTCAGTCTAACTGTGGTTCCACAAAGGGTCCAAGGCCACACATACACACACACAGAGATGGCCTTCGAGGCCAGCCCCTCCGATCATGAGTCTTGGTGGATACTGGCCCCAGGCCAAGCTCACATTCTTAGCTCCCAGACAGAGGGCCTTAAGACTAACCTGGTAACCCCTGCTAGCCGGGGAAGCTTCTAGAAAGGTCACTGCATGGGAAACCAGGGCTTACAGTCCTATGGTGCGCCCACCCAGTGAGTAGGAGGTTGGCACTGGGGAGGACAATGTGCCCAAAGGTGGATGTTGGGTGAGGGCTCCTGGGCAGCCCAGCAGGGGCCAGAGAATGCTGTTAGACACACCTGCAATGACCAGTGTCCAGTTGGGTTTAGAAGTGAATGACTTTTTGGTTTGCTAGTGGAGTCTCTGGGACCCAGCTAGTTGGGCGGAAGAGGTGGGGAATGGCTGGTTGGCCTGCAATGATTGTGTGCCAGTTGTGAGCCAAAGACTCTGAGCAGAAATGCTGAATGGCTAAGCAGTGGGTCAATGGCCAGATCTGTAGCCCTCGGCCAATGTGCTGGCCACAGGGGGGCTGGAAGCAGCAATCAGCAGAGGGAATCTCCTTCAGCCCTCTGTCCAGCCACAAAGCCCAGGAAATGTGTCACTGAGCACTTGGGGGAGGTTCAACCCTGTGAGTTCATTGAAGCAAGGAAGTCCCATGGTGCAAACTTTCTGTAGTGATGCAGATCTCCAGCTTACAGTCTTTCCAGAGTTGCCCACGCTGCTATGGGATTGGCCCAGGCTCCCACAGCTGCTATGTGTCAAAGACAGGCCCTGGACACAGGCCTTTGTGACTGGGGGGGGGGGGGGGGGCAGGTGTCAGTTCTCTATCTACAGGCTTAGAAAAGGCCCCCTGGCATGATGAGAGAGCACACAAAAGGCTGAGGGAGCACGAGGGCACGCTAAAGAAGTCTCAGCCCGGCCCCTCATTCACAAAAGTCGTGAATGCTTCCTGGATCCTCTGGGAATGGATGAAGACGGATGGGGTGAGATGCAACTTAGCTCAGGGGGAGGTTATTTCTCTCCAGTAAGAAGGAGGAATGTTTCCTCCTCTCTCTGTCTCTCCCCGCACAGCCGCCCACCACTGGCATGCCTTCCAGAACTGCTGGCTGCAGGGTCTGGTTATCGCCAGGCACAGATCAGGTGCCAAACACTCCATCTGCTGTCTCTGGGGGGTGGGGCCAGGGGGCCTGGCCTGCCTGTGAGTGGGGGGAACCTCGGAGCTCCCGGCACCTTCTGAGTCTGGGGGCAGGGTGCATGCGGGCAGGCCTCTGCTTCATTTATTCCTTCCAGGAACGAAGTGCCTGTTTTGAGGGAGATATTGGAGATGTGCCTGGCTCTGCTTGGGGGCAGGGCTGATTGTAAGGGATGGAGAGGACAGAGAATTGGCTTCACAGTCTGGAAGAGGCCCCGTAGCTCCCAGACAGATGGACGCCCAGGCCAAGACAAGCCCCGTCAGGGAGGTGACCACGGCCTCAAGGGCCAGCTCTGACAAATGCCTGCCTTCATCAAACGCTTCCCAAGGTGTGCAGCACTGCGTGAGTCCCTGGGGGCACAAACAGACAAGAGGGCAGCCTGCTCTCTAGTTCCAGTGGGGGAGAAGGTCCCACGGCCCTTGGGGTGCAGGTGCAGAGATGGTGGTTGGCCCTGGGCTGGAGGCTGGGCCATCCCAAAGGCTCCTGGGCTCGGGATTTGGAAGGAGACGGTGGCCAAGGCGCGGGTCAGGGGTTGACTTGCCTGGCACCTGCTGCCTCCCCTATCTCTCCCTCACGGGCCCTTTTCCTTCAACTAGGCTGGTTTGCCTGCCCCCTGAGTGACGGTGGGCTGGCATTTGGTGTGGAGAATTGACCCCTTCTCCACAGGAACTGCCTCCCCAGATGATGGCTGGTGGTCTAGGGGTTACTACCACTCCCGGGGCTCTTGTGCCTCGCTGCCTGTGGGTGATCTGGGATAACCTTCTCTTCTCAGCCTCAGTTTCTTCCTCTGTAAAATGAGAAGACTGTACTAGGTCAGGGGGAGGGAAACTGTGGCCTCGAGGCCACATGTGGCCTTCTAGGTCCTCGGGTGCAGCCTTTTGACAGGGTCCAAGTTTTACAGAACAAATCCTTTTATGAAGGGGATTTGTTCCGTGAAGTTTGGATTCAGTCACAGGGCTGCACTTGAGGACCTAGAGGGCCACATGTGGCCTGGAGGCCGAAGGTTTCCCACCCCTGTACTAGGTAATCTCTAAAGTCCCAGGTCAGGATTCCACGATTCAGAAGTGAATTTCGTTAATTCACCAATGCATCTCTACTACTCATATTTATTAAGCACTTGCTTACTATGTTCCAGGAAATGGGGACACCAAACTGACAGTACATAGCTCCCACAGGGAGCTGACACTCTACTTGGCAGGGGGTGGGGGGAGGAGACATCCAATGTGTATGAAGATAAGTACATACATGTTTATTTGAAGAGGGGGTGGAAACCAGGGGAGGCTTCATGGAAGAGATGGCCTCTTCTCCCTAGACCTCACCATATGTAATGCCATTAGGTTTGGGATCCAGGCATCTTTCTAGCCCTCTCTGAAACCTCCTTTCTAGCCGCTGAAACCTCCCTTTGGGATTGTCTGTGGGGTAGAGTTGGAGGGACACCCATATGTCTCCAAGAGGGGACGATGGGGGCAAGGCACAACTAGAAGACCCGGTTTTGAGACTGAGAGCCAAGGAAAGACTGGGGCTTGGGTAAATCCCCGACGTCTTTAGGGCTGCCCATACCTAGGGCTTGGGAGATGCCCTTCTTGGGCTAGCTCAGGCTGACCTGAGTCTGCCCTCTGGTTCTCCCCTCCGAGGCTAAACAGAACACATCTCGGGGTCGAGGAAGAGGCCCTTCTCTGGGCACTGGCAGAGAGTCCCCAGTGGCTAGAGAGGGCTCCCGGCCCCGACACGTTCACCCCAGAAATGGGTCTGCCAGGCAGAGAGTGGAGCAGAAACGAGGAATTCTCACTCTCTCCACGTGCCCCGTGCATCTCCTCCAGCAGATCACAACTCACCCTGTCCCATGGGTCATTCCCCACTGCTTTCGAATGTGCCCAAGTCCCAGCCGTCCTTAGAAACCTTCACTCCAGATGTCGTCCTATGTGTCTCCCTCAGTCAAACTCCGGGAAAAAGTGATCTAATCCTGCTGCTTCCACACCCCCCCGCCCAGCTCTTTTCCATCTGGCTGCCTACTTCATCACTCAGCCAAAGCTGCTCTTTCCCAAGTTACCCACAAACACCAGATCCGACGGTCTTTTCTCAGCTTTCATTCTTCCTTTGCGGCTTCGGACACGATGAATGGCCGACCTTCTACTCTCGGTCACTCTCTCCCTTCTAAGTTTTTGTGACCCTGATCTTTCCTGGTTCTCCCTGTACAAGCCCGACCACTTCTCAGTTTCCTCTGAGGGAAAGGGACCACCCTCCCCCTTGGTGGCCTGATCAGCTCCCATGAGTTCAGGCAGAGGACTCCCTCCTCTCAGTATCGAGCCCTCATCACCTTCCTGAGCCCCAGATCTGTGTCAGCTGAATGGGCCGTCATCATCTCAAAACTCGACATGTCCAGAGCAGAACTCACTGCCTTTCCCCTCATACCATGTTCTCCTGACCACTCTATGGTGAGGACACCATTGTCCTTTCCGGTTCCCCAGGGTTGCCATCTCAAGTCTGCCTCTTTTCCACATCCTGTCTCATCATCCCCCAAATCCTGCCCATTCGACCTCCATGATATCTTTCTTTCTTGGCAATTGGGGTTAAGTGACTTGCCCAGGATCACACAGCTAGTAAGTGTCAAGTGTTTGGTCTGAGGCCAGATTTGAACTCAGGTCCTCCTGACTCCAGGACCAGTGCTCTATCCGCTGCGCCACCTAGCTGCCCCTCCCATGATATCTTTCAACACCATCCCTGATGTGTTCCATTTTTTCATCTCCTCTTTTGTTTGTACTAGTGCAACGCCTTCCTAGCTCGACTCCCTGCTTCTGGTCCAGCCTCCCTGATCCATCCTCAATATGGACACCAAAGTCATCTTCCACTGGTCTCACTCTTTCACTCCTCTGCTTAAGAACCTTCAGGGCTTCCTAACTGATCCTCTGCAGTGGGTGCGGAAGCCCACTGAAACAGGATCTCAGGAGCTGATTGTGAAATTTTCAGGGTGAACATTTACACCTCAGAACACTGCAAATGCTTTAAAGCTGGGCTTGGTGCAAACCTGGGTTTAGTTGACTGTCTAGACTTACGACAGTGATGGAAGAGATGCCAGTAATTCAAATTCAACTTAAAAGTGTGTCCCATTGAATATTTTCCAAGAGAGCTGGTTGCTAAATATTCACCAGAACATTCCTATCTCTTGGTTAAAATATAAACTCAGAATAGAGAATTTAGAGCTGGATATCACAAACCAGCATATCCAACCCATACCAGAAAGGAAAACCCATCATAACATGCTGTGGTTCAGTCATTTTTCAGTCGGGTCTAACTCTCCGTGACCCCATTTGGGGTTTTCTTGGCAGAGATACAGGAATGGTTTGCCATTTCCTTCTCCAGTTCATTTGACAGATGAAGAAACTGAGGCAGACAGGGTGAAGTGACTTGCCCCGGGTCACACAGCTAGGAAGCGTCTGAGGCCGCATTTGAACGCAGGCCTTTGTGACTCCTGGCTCTATATACTGTGGCGCCACCTAGCTGCCTTCCTGTTATAACACGGTTGTTGTCCTTCGTGGCGGGCACGCCATGCTGGGCAGTCCTTTGCCAGTGTCTCCCATGTCTCACAACTGATTCCCGAGTTCCTCAGAGAGTCCCTGAGAGTGTCCGTGTATGGCTTCTTCTGAGCTCCACGGGAGTGCCTGCCCTGTGCGAGTTCCCTGTAAAATACTCTGTTTGGCATTTGAACAGTTACGCTCTCTGTGGTAGAGTTTGAATGCCTGGAAGTTCAGCTGGAGAAAGGACCTCAGCGTCTGGGACCTTATCCTGCCGGGTGATCTTCAGAATCTTCCCAAGACAATTCAAATGGAAGTGATTCGGTTTCCTGGCATGGCGCTGGCATACTGTCCAGGTTTCACAGGCATACAGCAATGAGGTCAGCGCAATGGCTCTGTGGGCTTTCAGTTTGGTAGTCAGTCTAATACTTCTTCTCTCCCATACTTTCCTGCGGAAACTCCCAAACACTGAGCTAGCTCTGGCAATGCGTGCATCAGCCTCATTATCGATGTGTACATCCCTGGAAAGTACACTGCCAAGGTAAGTGAACTTATCCACAGCGTTCAAAACTTCTCCATTTGCTGTAACCGATGGTTCCACATATGGATGGTGTGGTGCTGGCTGATGGAGAACCTGTGTTTTCTTGGTGTTAATCGTTAGGCCAAAATTAGCACGAGCAGCAGAGAATCCGTCCCTGCTTTGCTGCATCTTAGCTTAAGAGGCTGCACTGAGTGCAGTCATCTGCAAACAGAAAATCATGCACCAACTTTCCCTCTACTTTAGTCGTGGCTTGTAGCCTTTTCAAGTTAATTTACCATCTGTTCAGTGGCTGACTTTGATGCCATGTTCATCCTCATTGAGAGCATTTCACAACATGGCTGAAAACATCATGCTCAAAAGCATGGGAGCAGGCATACAGCCCTGTTTCCCTCCACCAGTGACTGGGAAAGCATGAGAGCACTGTCCATTGTGCAGAACCCAGGAATGCATGCCATCACGAGGCAGTTCCATTACAGCACACTTGACCATCAGTTATGCAGTGTCTGAGGCACGATCCATCACCCTCAAAGCAGCTTATTTCACTTTTGGATAATTCTAATTATTAGGAAGTGTGTCCCGACAACAAGCCTCAACTGACTTTGCCTTTTTGCAACTTCATCTATTACTCCGGGCCTTGAGCTAAGGCAGCTCAGTGGAGAGAGTACTGAGCCTAGAGGCAGGAGGACCTGAGTTCAAAGCTCAGCTCAGATACTTACTGGCTGTGTGATCCTGAGCAAGAACCTTAACCTCTACCTGCCTCAGTTTCCTCAGCTGTGAAAGAGGATCATAATAGCCCCTACCTCACAGGGTCATTGTGAAGATCAAAGGAGATACTATTTGTAAAGAGCTTAGCACTGAGCCTGGCACACAGTAGGTGCTCTATAAATGCCTATTCCTCCCTTCCTTTTACCCTAGACCAAAGAGAACACCTCTAAGCCCTCTGTTACATGATAGCCCCTGTGCCTTCTCTCCCGGCCTGGTATTCACAAACTCTCCAGTCTACCTTTCCACACGTAATTCTCTTTGTCATCGTACTTTCTAGTCAAACTGGCTCATTGGCCATCCCCGGGAGGTGCTCTTCTATCCCCTCACTTCACCCCTCATGCCTGGCATGCATTCCTCCCTCACCTCTGCCTGCCTGACTCCCTAACTTGTATCAAGGCACAGCCCAGGTGCCTTTCCCTCTTAAAAGTTTTTTTTCATTTTTGTTTTTTTTTACATCACCAAAATTTCCCCCTGTATTTCCCCCTGTCCCTCTTCCCAGACAGCAATCTCACATACCATTTCCTTTTTATATATAAAGGGCATGTACCTACCACTGGGGCAACTAGCTATTCTATATTGTCACCAAGGCAGGTATAGCTTCAAAGTACTCTGGGTGTTATATCTGAGCCAGCCACCAGGTGGCACCTGAAGCCCTGAACTAAGAGCTAGAGTCATTGTGCATGAGTGGGCCGCCATCAGCAGTGGGAATGCGCCCACCGGGAAGTGAGCAAACTCAAGTCCCGCGCTCGGCTCGTCTGGATTCTTTTCAGGCATTGGGCACGCACAGGGAGGAGAGAGCCTTGCCTGGTCCCCGCATCCGTCCAGTGTCCATCTTCAGGGAATCTGTCTAGCCAAAAAGGATGAGTGTTTCCATCCCCGTGCAATGCTAGGAGATGGCTCTAGTCCCCGAAGCTATTGGATCACTGTCTTCATCACAGCAGCATCAACTTCAAGGGATTATTCAGCTCACATACAAATGAAAAGACGTTGCATAATCTAAATTGAAAAGTGAAAGGTCCGGAATGAAAATTACAGAGCAGCAGGTGTGAAATCTGGATTCTCCCACCCTTCTCTTGTGTCAGGGGAATTGGTTTTAACCTGAGGGAAAGTGAGAAGCAAATCACCTTCATCCCATTTCAGATGAGGGTGACTCAGGGTCACATGATCTCTACCTGTAAGTCAGCAAAGTAGATGAATCAGTTCCTCAGGAAGCTCATCAGGCTGATACCTTCTTGAGTTACTGACTTTGCCCCCACAGTCCCTTCTTTTTCTGACAGGTGCCATCTCTTCCTTCCTTCTTTGCTGGACTCCTGGGCCTCCTGTTCTCCAGGCCAAGCATCATGACCTTCTTTTAAAAAGTAAAGTCCCTAGGTGGTGTGACATTAGATAACCTCAGGTAACTCCCTTTCAGCTAAATGCCCAGAGGCCATTCTAGCATTAAAAGATTGAAGATACTGTAGGCAAACAACAAGTACCGGTTGAAACAAGCCCCTTCAGACAGAGGTGACATAGCTATCTATCTATATCTAATTTATTTGTCCATCCATATCTACATATCTATTTATCTATCTATCTTTCTATTGATATCACCTCTCTCTATGTATCTATCTAATCTATTCATCCATCCATCCACATCTATATCTATGAA